TTTCAGGAAAAGAGTGCTAGTCTCCGCCCCGTTGTTCCACTGCCCCTCCCCCCACTTGACTCCTGTACCTAGTTGGCCGCAAAATCAGCTTGAAAAAATTTATAGATAACAGTGGACACTGTCCATGCCAACGGGGCTGTTCAGCTTGTCGGGAAAATGTTTCTGCCCAGAGCGCCCTCCTAGAGTAATTTGAGGTGCTTTAGCAGTGTCCTTGGCTGGCCTTAGGAATGCCGGAAGCAGCGAGGCCTTTCTCAAATAGTGTGGAGACTGAGGTTCCACAAAGCACGAGTATTTGAAGTTCCATCCGTTTGGAACTTATGGGAAATTACGTTTGAGAATTTGACATATATTGGGGATTTCTTAGAGCCGCTCTTTCACTCTTAATTTGAGATCAGGACTCAGGTAGCCCAGTTGGCCTCAAATCCCTGATCCTCCTGTCTCCACTTCCCAGTGATGGGATACAAGCGTATGCCACTGGGCCTGGGCAAATTTTCTTTTTCAAGATGGGTCACAGTATGTAGATTAGTCTGGCCTCAAACTTCCGGCTCTCCTGCTTGTGTCTCCTGAGTACTGAGATTACAGCCCTTTGTCATAGAAATCTTTATAGAATTTTTCATATGGGGAAAGCAATGCATATTTGTTTTTTATACTTCTTCCCATGGTGATCTTGGTAAGGGAATCTTTGTTCAATTCCTTCTTGCTTGGTCGTTATTGACTTGTCTGCTCATGTATTTGTTCTTTCCCCCATTCTTTCAAACAACATTATTGTCTACTGAATTACAAAATCTATTGAAAATCTACTTGAAAATTTTCAGCTTGTCAGCAAGTTCCTTGGGGCTCTGCATTATCTGGACCTTGTTGTGGTCCCCAGTCCCTTCTCTGCCTTCAGCTTTAGCTTCTCCATGCAGTGTGTTATGTCTTTGTGTGTTTGTCCTTGTTGTTCCCTTTGCCTAGAAATGTCCTCCTAATTTTATTTTCTGGTTCTTATTGCTCAATTAGACTGCCTGTTTCTGCCAAATTAACCAAATTTACAAGACTGCTTACACCATCTCCAGGAAACCTGCCGTCACATGGTACTAAAGGTTTGTGTTTCCACAATACTTTTCTACAAGTCATACCACACTGATTATAATTATTTCTGAGTCTTCTCTCAGATCAGAGGTTTATGAAGGTAGAACATATGTATTCACTATTGTATCCCAGTGCTAGAATAGCATGAAATAGATAGTAGGCATGAAATAATCTTGATTGATTGATTGAATGAGTGAGGCCCCAAACAATATCATGTAGTGGTTAAGAACCTATTCTTTGGAAAGATTTCTTTCAAATCCTAACTCTGGCACACAGTGTCCTTGTTGCTTGACATGGTACTTGCTTATCCAAGCCTTACTTTTCCATAGAGTGAAAGTGAGACAAAGTAAATGAAACATTCAGCACAGGGCCTACTATGTGGTGTGCTCTTAATAAGTTATGCTGAACACCTGGGATCCTGGGCTAGAAGACCAGGTGCCCACAGTAGGGGTCTCCAGGGACCTTTCTTCAATGTTTCTTGAAGGGGAAGTCAGTGGGGAGTCTGTTTCCAAGGCTATCAGAACTGTGAAAGTTATTGTACTATATTCAGTAAGATGTACAAGAAAGATGACAACTCCATTGGCTTCAGGGAGGAGACAGGACCTGAAATCTGACTACGATTTGGGTTTTTTATGAAAGAGAGGAGGATAAGTCAATGATCTGGGTTTTTTAAGAAGGAGAGGAGGATAAGTCAATACCTGAATATCATGTTTAGAATAACTTACTCAGGGGCCATGCTGTAACACTTTATTCCTGAAGGATGTGTATTCGGGGAAGGATGCCTGCCTGTGTGTCTGGGGGTGGGCCAGGGAGGGAAGAGTGAGAATGGTCAGTGGGGTCAGTTCTGTGAAATAAGTAACCTTTGAGGAATTAGAAGTCGTGAGTCTTAAATTCAATTAGTGGTCCATAACCATTTGTGGTTATGTAACTTGGGAACAAAGCCTAAAGTAAAAAATCCACCTAGGTGCTGGTGGCACTCCCCTTTAATCCCAGCACTTGGGAGGCAGAAGCAGAGGCAGTCGGATCTCTGTGAGTTCAAGGCCAGCCTGGTCTACAGAGCTAGTTTCAGTACAGCTAGGGCTGTTACACAGAGAAACCCTGTCCCGAAAAACAAAAACAAAAACAACAACAAAATCTAGTTTCTTAGTTGTGCTAGTGCAGAAGCTCAGTTATCAGCTGGCTAGTTTACTTATGGTGAAGGTATGTTCCAGAAAATTCTTGTGCTAGCAGTGCTTCCAGATAGATTTCTGGCCTCATGTCATTGTCAGGTCATTTGTGTTCCCTAAAGATCAGAATTAATCAGAGGGTGGTATACTATAGTGGTATACTTAGCAAATAGACCGTTGCAGAAGTGGGGAGGGTGGATAGTAGAATGAGCTGGTCCTCTTTTGGGGCATTCTACTTTAAGAGGAGGAACCCATTGGGTGTGGTGGCACACACCTTTAATCTCAGCACTTGGGAGGCAGAGGCAGGTGGATCTCTGAGTTTAAAACCATTCTAGCCTACATAGCAAGTTCTAGGCCAGCTAGAGCTACACAGTAAGACCCTGTCTCAAGGAACCCAAGAGGAGCTCTGGGGAGTAAAGAAAAGGTAGAAAACCTTAAAACTTAGGGAGGGTTGTTATTTGATCAGTTATCTGCAAACATTTATTGTAAGCTTGCTGATTTATTGTAGGCTTGTTGTATGCCAAGTAACAAATGCTGGGAATACAGTGCTAAAGTAGGCCTGACACTTTCAGTTTGTGGAATTTTGCTCGAGAGTCCAGCTGAGATTCAGGAACACCCATCATTGTGTGTTCCCTGTATTCTAAAGTCATTAATTCCTATGAGTTGGTTCTAGAGGCCCAAATGGGCCAACCTACTGTTTGTTTGTTGTGTGAGCATTTTGCAGTCAGTGCATCAGCTTCCCAGGAAGTGGTGCATTGGAACATCACCACTTAAGAACTTCAGGGAATAAAATGTGTGTATATTTGTGGTAGAAGGGAGGGCTATTTCCACTGTCTTGTCATGTTCCTAGCTGTCTATTGGATCTCTCTGTTCCTACTCAGAAGCTGCACTATTTGATGGCTTCTTTGTCAGTCATATGCCTTGTTTCTCAGTGCCCAATGAGGACATGCTTCACTTCTCTGTCCATTACCTGCCCATCCATCAATTTGTAGCAGGTACAAACAGATGCCCCATGGAACATAGCATTGTAAGTGGGACCTGCCTGTAGTACTATCACAGCTGAGCCCAGGTTTAGGATCTTAGATGAAGAGCTGGCTTTATACTCATATCCACTCCTCTCAGAGACCTTTTGGACTTTCTGGCCCACACATGGCTGCTGGCTAGGTGTGTTCTTGTGCTGCTTTTGTTTCTTCTTACTCTGAAGTGTGAAGCGTGGCCATTGTCTGCTGCAGATTATGTTGAAGCCCAGCTGGTGTTCTTTCATTAATTTTTGCCCCCTTTTCGGGTGACTCTTGAGGCAGCATTACTGGTGCGGCCCAGGCTGCCTTCTCCCTTGTGGAAATCTGTGCTGTCACTTGTGCTTCTTAAAGTGAGAGGCCTCTCCTAGTCCTTCCAGACCATTCAGTGGCCTGGCTCCTGGCCGTCTCTGACTGGGTGGTTTTGGAAACCTTTCCTGACTGACTGAGGACTTTGAACCTCTTTGGCCTGCATGGGCTCACATTAATCAATTCCTGGGATGGTGTACCTAGCTCATTCTGCCTTGCACTGTCTTGTCTTTGCAGATGGTAATATTCTCATTTTTGAGAATATGGTTTTTGTTCTTTGTTTCTGGATATAGTACTTGGGCAAAGGGAATTGTTGCTGCTTGGGGAAGAGGCAAGATTTTCCCCAGGTGTTAGGAGCTTGAGCACTGATGGTTCTAGAGCAGCAGTTCTCAACCTTTGGTGTTTGAAGGACCCTTGCACAGGGGTCACATATCAGATGTCCTACATATCAGATATTTATATTACAATTCAAACAGCAAACTTCCATTTACGAAGTAGCAACAAAAATAATTGTGTGATTGGGGGTCACCCAGCATGAGGAATTGTATTAAAGGGTCTCAGCATTAGGTTGAGAACCACTGCTCTAGAGGCTAGAGAGACATCTTGAAGACCTAGTCTTAATCTTGCCCTGATTCTCTCTTCTGCCTTCCTGGCTCACCTCATCCTTTTTCTTTGCTTCAATTTCTGTGACATGCATCATGCTGATGCCTGTCAAGTACATTCAGTCAGTCCATTTTCCCGACTCTCCTGTTGGTGTATCTCAGCTTAACTCATGGAGCTTCCACAAGCCATGCCAGATAATTGTGTTCCAATGTAAAATTCAGGGAGCTCAGTGGTAGATTGCCTATTTAGGAAGGTCAGGGCCTTGGGTTTGGTCCCCAGTATACACACCCCACCTCTCTCTCACAAAAGATAGCAACCCCCCAAACAAGCAAACATTCAAAAAACAAAAACAAAACTCACTACCCCTCAACGAAATAATAGCCAAGGGAATCAATATGAAGTTGGTCTTTCTTCATCTTTTTCTTTTCAAAAGAAAAAAATTATTTTTGTTTTTAATTATGTGTGTGTCGGGGAAGGGGGTGAGTAGGTGGTGAATCCAGGTGTCCACAGAGGCCACACGTGTCAGATCCCCTGGAGCCAGGATTATAGGCAGTTGCAAGCTGCCAGACTTGGGAGCAAAGAATCAAACTTGGTGTCTGTCCAAGAGCAGCATGTGCTGTTAACCTTTGAGCCATCTCTCCAGTTTTTTCACCTCCATTTCTAAATAGCGTCTTCCTATAAATTCATTTTATCTAGTGGCATCTTCCAAATTAGGGCCCTTCCCCCTCTTTTGAGACAGAGTCTCATGTAGCTGTTCTGGAACTTGTTATATACACAAGGTTGGCCTAGACCTCACAGAGATCTGCCTGCCTTTGTCTCCTTAGTGCTGGGGTTAAAGTCATGTGCCATGTCTGGGTAGATTAGAAATCTTTTGTTTGATACCTTTCTTCACTCCTTTGGTATTTTCCAAATGGTACCAGAAGATAAGTGTATCTTCTGGGTTTGTCTTCCTTCTCCTCCTCCTGTTTTTGAGCAGGATCTCACTATGCAGTCTTGGCTAGCTTGAAAATTGATATGGAGGAGACAGAGGCCAGCAGATCATCCACACAGTAAGTTCCTGGCTATCCAGTGCTGAAGCGAGACACTGACTGGAATGAAAAAGGAAAAAAGCGGTGCTAGAGAGATGGCTTAGCAGTTAGTGTATTTATACCTATACAGCGGCTCACAATGGCTTGTAGTTCTAGTTCAGGGGATTTTCCATGTCATTTCCTGGCTTCTGCAGGTATTGCATGCATGTGGTTCAAACACTGACAAGCACAAATATACACAGACACACACTCTGTCTCTTAAATAAAATAAAATAAGGACTAGGAGTGAAGTTCAGTGGGATAATACTTGTCTAGTATGTGCAAAGCCCTGACTTCAACGTCCCTCTCCTCCAAAGTGGAGAGAGAGCGAGAATACATATAAAGATACCAGAGATCTGAAGAACATGTTTTTCTTTGAGATTTGTGTGTGTGAGTGTTTTTCTTGTATATATGTAAGTGCACCATGTGTCTGTAGTTCCATGGAGGACGAAGAGGGCATTAGATCCCCTAGATTTGGAGTTAACAGATGGTTGTGAAGCAAATATGAGTCCCCTGGAAGAGCTGTGAGTGCTCCTAATGCTCAACCTTCTCTCTCTGTCTGCATCTTCATTGTTTAATTCTTGGTTCTCCGACAGGTACACTCCTTCCTAACCCAAATCCTGTATACATACCCCTTCTTCATGAAGCCTTTTTAATACTCTCAAGGGTCAGTCCTATCATGGGGCTAATGTCACATGTTACTCCCTTACAGTGCTTGGATCATATTCTAGTGACTAGTGTATGGATTGTCTGCTTATATACCCTACTTCAAGCTCCTCAAATTATAGGAATAGTCTTTTACTCACTTCTGAGGGACCCTCTGCATGTAGCCTAATGCCCAGCACAGGAGATCAACAAATGTGTAACAAATATTTGAATGCTTAGCATGTTTGGCAGAGGTAAATGTTTGCCTGCATTATCTCATTAATCCTCAGCAGCCTCCTGAGTCCTGTCATTATCACAGCTTTATAGGTGAGGAAGTTGAGACTAGGAAGGTGAAGTCAACCTGCCTCTGTGAACACCCTCACAGTCATGTGTGTGGTGAGGCTGGGCGTGGCCTGGATGATTTGTTCTCCAGTGATCCTATTTTGTTTTTAGAGCGATGAAGCGAGTGTGTTGGTTGGTGAGACAGGACTGCCGGCACCAGCGAATCAAACTTCCCCATTTGGAAGCAGTTATGATTGGTCGAAGTCCAGAGACCAAGATCACAGATAAGAAATGTTCCCGACAACAAGGTAACTAACTGGTCATAAAATATGGGGATGACTATATTATAGTTATGGGGGTAATGATAACCAGTGATACACATTTCCTGGTGTTCTTGCTGGAAAACCTAATATATTCCCAAAATAAGGCTCATAAATTGTGTTCTTCTAGCTAACACCAGTGCTGGTTCATCCTGGATTCTGCCTTCACCATTTAGTAACACTTAATGCAGGTTCAGGTAAGGGATGGGAACAGGCAGCTGTCCTCTTGTTACCTTAGAGTGGCAGGATTGAGTCTTGGACCCTGCTTTGCCCAGGGGTTATGCATTGAGCAGCAAGACAAATTCTGGAATCTCCAAGCTGAAATGCAATGGGGACAGTGCCAACCTTTACATACTGCCTAACACAAAGGATAGATCTTTGTAAGACTGTGGCATCCAGCTTGTCTTTCACGTTCTAAGGGAAAAGCTGAGGACACACACACACACACACACAAAACCGTGGGCATGCTTACCCCTGCCTGCCTGCAGTGTGACCCCATCACCCTAAGGTTCTAGATTCAGAGTTGGGGCCTGTAGCAGTTGAGTATGGACTTTCCTGTGGGAGTTAGTTCAAGTGTGCTGGAGTGTTGAGCTGAGTAGGTCCAGGATACAAATGGCTACTGCTTCTGTCTGTCCCCTCCTCACAGTAGCAAGTGCAGGGGTATGGGGGTTTGCCAGCTTTCTGCCTGCCCTCCCTGCTGAGCAGATGTGGTGCCTCTTCTTGTTCCCCATCTCAACCCCACATGCTTTTTTGACTTATCTGAATATGAGTGTTTGAAATTGCCCTTCCTTCTCGCACATACTCATACTGCCCAGTCCTGCAGTGTTTTTCTAGAACCTTCTTTCCATTCCTTCAGACTAGCTTGGACTTTTTTCTAAGGACATATCTTTTTCCTCTTTCTCTGTTGAAGTCATTTGATAGTAATGTTCCCTACCCCTGAGGCTCATGTTAGGCAAGCCCAGTGACACTTAGCTGCAGCTCCAACTCTTGATAGATTTTGTTTTCTTCTATTAGTAGAAATCTTATCTAACCAGGTGTTAGGAGTTTTCCTCCTGTTAGCAGAGTCTGTGCTCCTGAGCTGGCTAGTAGTTTTGTCACAGGAGGCTGTGGGGATTCATGAAAGCTGCCTCAGAGTTTCTTATTTTTACTTGTTTGAGACAGGGTCTCACTATGTACCCTTGGCTGTCCTGGAACTCATTATGTGGACCAGGCTAGCCTCAAACTCAGAGATCCACCTGCCTCTGCCTCTTTAGTGCTGGGATTTAAAGGTGTGCACCACCACAGCCAGTTTTGAGAAGGGAAAGATACTGAGCATTTGTTTGCTTTTAAGATTTATTTTTATTATTTTTAAAATTATATGTGTGTCTCTGTGTGGATGTATTTAAGTACAGTTCCCTGTGGAGGCCAGAGACATCAGAGTCCCCTGGAACTGGGGTCAAAGGTGCTAATGAGCTGTCAAGTGTGGGTGCTGGGAACCAAACTCAGGTCCTCTGGAAAAAGCAACAGTAAGTAAGTACTCATAGCCAGTGAGCCATCTTTCCAGCACCCCCTCTTTCCAGGTTTTCAGCAGTAGCTAAGGGAGTTCATGCACCGGTATAAATTGTTTTTTGGGGTGAGAAGTGGGGGTTAAGTTGTTCTTACATATTCAGGATTGACTTCACACACTGACTATGCAACCAGGGCTGGCCTTGAACTCCTGATCTTCACTTCACTTCTCAAGTCTGGGGTTATAGGCATGTGCCACCATGCCAAGCTCACTGATGGACATTTTATGGAAGGGTCTGAAGCTGTTAGAAGTTGGTGGGATTTGTAGGCCCAGGCACATGCAGATCAGGCTCATCTGTGGGCTGTCTGCAGCAGTCAGGCTTTGTTGTCCTTAGGGAAAACAGAGTACCTCGTTCTGGTTGCATCTGAGTTTAATGTTTTCTTATGTCTTTCAGTACAGTTGAAAGCAGAGTGTAACAAAGGCTATGTCAAAGTAAAGCAGGTATGTGTGTTTGTGACTGGGATTTGCATTTATTACTTGATAGTTTTCTTATGCTGTTGCTTTAGACTGTGCTAGCTAATGAAAGCTCCCCTGTCATGGGTGGAAGTGATGCAGTGAGCTTAGGCAGGGTGTCTGCACAGTAAGTGGTTAATACAGCAGCAGCTCTATTACTGATGGCATTACCACTGCTATACTTACTATACTTACATTATGATTGTGGTTCCACAGGTGGGGGTCAATCCCACCAGCATTGACTCAGTCGTCATTGGGAAGGACCAAGAGATGAAGCTGCAGCCTGGCCAGGTTCTCCACATGGTGAATGAACTGTATCCATACATTGTAGAGTTTGAGGAAGTAGCAAAGAGTCCTGACCTAGAAACACAAAGGAAGAGAAAGAGGTCAGACTATGATGGTGAGGAGATGGATACTGCTCAGGAAGCTGAGTCTGGGACAGGGCTAGCCCCTGGGGGCAGCCCCAGCCAGTGCTGTGTGCCTTCTAAGAAGAGCAAGGATGGAGTCACCAAAGAGGTGAGAATAGTGTGATTGACCGATGATGTAGAGATGAAATGAGATATAATGACCGCTTAATTGTTTTGTACACTATAAAGCTCAGACACAGGCGAGTTGGTATTAATCATAATGAGGGTTGTTGACCATGATGAAAGAGTCACTTGTTTGTGGCCTGAAAATCACTTGGTGAATGTCCCTTTATATGCTTTTCTATTAAATTTATGGTGTAAACTACTTGAAGGAAGATAGGACAGTCAGTAGGCTTAGGGATTGACCTAACTGGAACAACAAAGAAATGAAGAAAGGATAGACACACAGACACACATACAGAAAAGCTGGGATTAGGTCATCTGTACTCTCTAGTGGAGATGGACCATCAACCAGAAACTCAGTCTGATTCTTTTATATATCTAAATCGAGGAGGTGGGTTTATTGTAGAGAGCTGAACAAGGAGGCAGGTGTCTCAGGCTGTAAACATCTGGAAAGAGGAAGCTGCAGTTGATAGTTTCTGCATACACCAGCCAGCCATTTGTAAACACTGGTACTAGGATCAGAGGCTTTGCCATCCCTCTGGGCCTTACCCTGGGAAGGCTTTGCCATTTCCGTGGGTCTAGGTACTGAGGTCCTTGACATGGCTGGTCATGTCAACAACACACATTCATTTAGGTCTTCATCCACTTCTTACACAGTCACTAGGGGTTTCCTCTACTCCCTGTGTAGTGTAATTAACATTGAACACTAAAATGGGTCATTTGATTGTTTACCTATTGGTTAACGATGCAGTACTCATAGATATGTAATTCACAAGTTAATGTCAGAATAGAAACTTGGCTAGGCTGCAGCTGGAGTGTACTCTGGTGGTCTTGGCTTTACAGAACTTTTCCTGGGGGAATGTGAGCAGATGTCTGTTCACCCCAGATATGGCACTAATGACAGACAAACCATTCCACCCAAGTCTAACTTGATGAACTAGTGAGTTTAATTTTGGTTACTTGGAGGCAGCTTATGGGTGACTACCCCATCAAAGAGGAGTCTCCCTCTCCAGCAGTTGTTAGCTGCTTGTATATCCTTTGGGAGAGGAGGAGCCTCGTGAGCCCTCTCATAAGTCCTCTCTGTCCCCCAACAAGGGGATGTTTTTTGGCCCAGTCTTGTCCAGGTAATCGCAGATGCTCTTGTTGGGACCATAATCCTTTCACAAAGGACAGAGTTCCACCTCCATCCTTACCCCCAGGTCTAAATATAGGAAGACAACAGAGAGGCTTGTGGTCCTAAGGGCAACAGACTGAAGCAAAGGAAGTTTAATTCTCAAAAACTAACATTACTTCCATGTTTTATTTGGACTTGGCTGTCATGCAGTATTAGCTACACTTAATTACTGGCATATGTATTTACATTGCCTTTTTTATTTAGGAATCACTGGGCCACTGGAGTCAAGGCTTGAAGATTTCTATGAAAGACCCCAAAATGCAGGTCAGAATAAAATTTTATAATTTATAAGTGTCTGATAAGTTGTACATGACCATTCTACAGAATTGGTAATTGTAACTGAAGCCAAAGGATGTCATTCTTCCTAGTGGGATTCTGATTTATTGGACTTTTCTGTGAGAACAAGTGGCTTCCACATGGGTACTAAGTAGTCACTAGGCTCTTCTTTTTGCCTACATTCTGTCCTTCATATCATATTCACACTTACAGCTGTTCCCACATATACATGCATACATTCATTAGAGGCTAGGAGACACACATGAAGGAGAATGTGGAGTCTTTTCTTTTTGATTTTGGGTTACCTTGCTTAATATAATTTATAAGTCCATCCATTTTCCTGTAGATTTTGTGATTTCATTTTTTCCTTTTCTTTTCAAAAATTTGTATTGATTTATTTTAATGTGTAGGGTGTTTTGTCTGCATGTATGTCTATGCACTGTTCAAGTGCCTGGTGCCTGGGGATGCCAGAAGAAGGTGGATCCCCTGGGACTGGAGTTACAGATGATTGTGAACCTCTGTGTGGGTGTGGGGATCAAACCAGGATGCCCTGGAAGAGCAGCCAGTGCTCTTAACCAGAGCCACCTAAAACTTGCTGTGTAGACCAGGCTGTCCTCAAACTCATTATTTGTCTGCCTCTGCCTCCTGAGTGCTGGTGTGCCTCCATACCCAGCCTCTGATTTCCTAAATAATACTCCATTTTGTATGTATAGCACATTTTCATTCTCTCTTCATCTGTTGATGAACATATGAATTGTGAAAGAGCATATAAACTAATTTTCTCTAGTTTGAACTCTGTCATAGGTTTTCTTCTTTTTTTGTGGCAGATATGTGCATAAAATTGTAATTGATAATGAAAATATTAAACCCCAAGTGAAGCTCCACAGCTTCAGAATGGCCATTCTAACTATGAGATGTATAGCATTTGGTTATGGGCAAGTGTTTGTTTGAGTGGCTACCTTAATCTAGCTGTGTGGTAGTTTTTGTTTGTGAGTTTGTTACAATGAAGTGGTTTTATAAAAAATTTAAAAGTAGTAACTGGAGGTCTTTGGGGAGACACCTGTTGCTGGAGTGTCTTTCCTGCCAGGTTCCGCCATCCTTCAGCCCTAAATAAGCACACACAGCTATATTAACTATAAAATTGTTGGTCGATGGCTAGGGCTTCTTATTGACTAGCTCTGTCTTAATTATCAACCCACAACTATGAATCTATGTATTTCTACATGGCCTTATCTTACCAGAGAACTCCTGGCACGTCCTATCCTCCTGGTCTCTCTTACATCGAGTCTCTTTCCAGTCTCTCTCTGCCTACCTTTTACAGAATTCTTCTCTTCTCCTAGTCCCACCTTTCTTCCTGCCTCTATTGGCCAAACTGTTTTATTCATCTATTAATAAGAGAAATATATATGGACATCCCCCATCAGAAGCCCACTTCTTCAGATGAACATGTTGTCTGCTATTAAGAGAAACTGGACTAGCAGGATGGCTTAGTGGGTAAGGGTGCTTGCTGCCAAGGCTTATTACTTGAGTTGATCCTTGGAATCAGCACTGTAGAAGGAGAGAACAAGCTCCTTAACTTGTCCTATGATTTCCCCCAAATAAGTAGTAAATGTTAAAAAAAGAAATTGTGCTAACCTGAGCATGGTCCCTTTGAGGGGATCATCAGATAACGTGTGGTGACTGTCATAACACCTGTCTTCGTGTCTGAATTCAGCTACCATCCTTGGAGGAGCCTCTGAGGTTCGCTTCAGGTAGGGCTCTTTGAAATCCACACACATGTAGTCTGTGTTCAAGAGTCTGCGATTGAACTCTACCTGTGGAGATTTAACGTGAGGCCTTGAGAACTCTTTAGTGTAGTATATCTTCTCTGTGTCTGTCCTATGTAGTGTGGTGTTTGAAAATACAGGCTCTGATTCGGCACTGTGTAATGTGACTGATGTAAGACACTGTGTCTGCCTCCAGCTCTTAACACTTTTTGCACAGGGTTTTGTGTTTAAGTGACAGGATGAGTATGGCAGCACCTGCGCAAAGATCCTCAGCTGACATCTCTTTCTTTCTTTCCTGTGTGCTCCCTGCTAGGTTTACAAAGATGATGTGGTGGTAGTGATTAAGGATAAGTACCCCAAGGCCCGTCACCATTGGCTGGTCTTACCCTGGGCCTCCATTTCCAGTCTGAAGGCTGTGACCAGTGAACACCTTGAACTTCTCAAACATATGCACACTGTAGGGGAAAAGGTGATTGCAGATTTCGCTGGATCCAGCAAACTGAGCTTCCGGCTGGGTTACCATGCCATTCCCAGCATGAGGTAAGCCGTGGGGTGAGATGGTGCCCTCCATTTTGGTTCATGATATCAGTATGAACTTAAGAGTCAGGTAGTTTCCAGACCCAGGGAAGGTGGGATGTTTCTGAGCAGGCAGGCCAAATCTTGGGCCTGCCTTACTTGCCTATAAGCCCAAGTTCCTGCTTCTGCCTGTAATTTAGTCCCTTGAAGCTTTTTATTTCTCTCAAAATGTAAGTCCCCCACTACCCCAACAGAGTTTCTTTGTGTAGCTTTGGAGCCTGTCCTGGAACTCGCTCTGTAGACCAGGCTGGACCTAAACTCACAAGAGATCTGCCTGCCTCTGCCTCCTGAGTGTTGGGATTAAAGGTGTATGCCTACCACCACCCAGCTCAAAAAGTAAGCTTTTTAACTTGCAAACTCACTCTGTAGACCAGGCTGGCCTTGGACTCAGAGATCCACCTACTTCTGCCTTGTGAGCATTAGGATTAAAGGCATGTGCTACTGCTGCCTGGCAATCTTTTTTTCTGCCTGGTATTCTTGAACCCTCCTCACATCAGCTTCCTGAGGCTGGGGCTATAGGTGTTTACTACTGTTCCTGGCTAACCATTGAAAAATTTTTTTTGCGATTTATTTTTATTTTGTGTATGGTTGTTTTGCCTACATGTATATCCATGTACCATGTGTGCACCTAGTGCCCATGGAGACCAGCAGAGAACATGGGATCCCTAGGAGCTGGAGTTACAGATGTTGTTAACTACCACGTCAGTGCTGGGCATCACACCCAGGCCCTCTGGAGGAGCAGCTGGTACTCTTAGCTGCTGAGCCATCTCTGCAGCCCCTTAGCATAGTTGATTGTCATTAAGCATGCTTTTGTTCCTCTACTTTTATCTTTATTTACATATTTGGAAATAGGGCTCTAGGTAGCCAAGGTTGGTCATGTGTTCCTGATCCTCCTGCCTCTATCTCCCGCATGTTGGGGTTATAGGCATGGGCCACTATGCCTGGTTTTGCAATGCTGGGGATCAATGCAGGCTAGATAAGCACTGTCTCACTGAGCAACATCTCCAGCCTGATGCAATTTTTAAATAAATGTAATAGAAAAATATGAGAGCGAGACACTTTCTAAAAAACAAACAAAACCTAACAACAAAGGAAAATGTAATAAAATTTCCTACTATAAAGCATTATTTTTAATTTAGAAAATACAAAAATATAAAAACTGAAGCAGAGCAAACACTTGCTGTAATACCACCACTACTTAAATGCTATACTTGTTTGAATTTCAACTGTTTTTGCTAAAATGTTCTTTTCCTGCTTCAGGATTCATGTAAAATTTACTTTTTGTCTGTCCTTAGCCTCTGGTCTGAGGTCCTGACCTTGATACCTTTGATGGGTACTGGCTGTTTGTAGGATGTCTGTCTTTTCTTCTTGTGTTTTTGATTCTGGGTTTCTCTGAGGTCCAGGCTGACACTTAACTCACCACATGGCCAGGCTTCAATTTATGATCCTTTTGCTTTTGCCTCTTAAGTGCTGGCCTCAGGTATGAGGCTCATGCCTGGTAGGGAGATATCTTTTAATTTGGGTGTATTGTGATATCCATGGTGTCCTCATCATGTCAGAAGTGAGTGGTGTTGAGGTGACTTGTGACCTGTTGGTCATTTTGTTGAGGTGTTGCCTGCCAAGGTTCTTCACTCAGAGTTACTGTTTTTCCTTTTTTAACTGATGACTATCATGGGGGAAATATTTTAAGATTATTAGAACCTTATTGCTCAAATTTAGATCCATTCTTTTCTTTTCTTTTTTTTTTAGTTTTTAAACAGTTTATATGAATGAGAACACATGCTTAACACAAACTATTTTTTAAAACTACACAGTACATATTTAGAAGTAAATTCCCATAGAAAGTGACCAACCATGTCAAGATGATAAGCAAACCACTTGTTAGAAGGAGATGGATGCTCGGAAACTTTAAAGGGCCACATCCACCACTTCAGAAAGTTTTGACTGTAAGGGGTAAATTAGCTTCCTCCCCCCTCTTCCCATGTTCTCAATTTGCTCAGGGGATGGTGACCCTTTCCCCTTCTCCAGGGGACAAAGTTTGTCTCTTTTAGGGTCTTTGTTTACTAGTTTCTCTGGCAGTGTGGATTGTAGGATGGTAATCCCTTACTCTGTCTAAAATCCACATATGAGTGAGTACATACCATGTTTGCCTTTTTGTGATTGGGTTACCTCGCTCAGAATGGTTTCTTCTAGTTCCATCCATTTTCCTGCAAAATTCAAGATTCCATTG